TGACAAAATGTGTACTATCAATTATCAATACATGTAGTTTAGCCAGAATTGACGTGTCCAAAGTCTCTCGTGTCCGAGGCCTCCCCGCTCAGAGATGATACTAGTGTGGGACAGAGCGCTAAATAAATGCAGTCTGTTATTATTCCATCTATTATTATTATTAATAGAATGATATATAATATAATCTAATATTATATGATATAATGTATTATTATATAATATAATCTGTTATTATATTATGTATTATATATTATTATATAATGTAATCTATTATTATTATATTTGATAGATAGATAGATAGATAGATAGATAGATAGATAGATAGATAGATAGATAGATTGTTGTTGTTTTTTTTTTGTTGTTTTTTATTTAGTAGAGGGTTTTACGGCGTTCGCAACTGCATAAGGTCATATGAGCGCCAAGGGGTGGGTGTCAACAGAGAAGTGTTTACAGGGAATCAGACTTAGACTGCTCACCACTCTAGCTTCAACAGCTCAAGGTCTGCTTCGGCTATCAAGGCACCCCAAAATAGCAGGTCACAAGAGAGGGACAAACATACATAAGAAGTAGAGGAAAATGACAATAGTAAGGATCAGGAAAGAAAAAGCAGCAGTTTCCTATTGTAGATCAGGCACAGTTATGAGCGTGACATGAGTCAGCCCATTTACAATTCTACTATGCTTGAACGAGAAATGTCCCCCCTTTTGGAATGGCCTAAAGACACTTCAGTCAGTGGCACTGATAATTTTTTAAAAGATATATTATTACATAATTAATTTTATAACATAAACAATTTTTCATCCTTCAGAAAGTTATGGACTTGGGCCGACTGCCCAGCTAGGGCCCTGCGGGTCGCCAGTTTGAGATTCCTGATCTATACAAGACATATTAATCAATGTTTGCCCCTTGTTGACAAGTTTAAATTAAATATCTCACTACACAATACAAACAAATGACCTGCGGGGATAACAAGTAGGAAAAATATGGTTCTGTTCGTCTCTTCGTCTCCATACGAATAAGCACGCGAGTTCAAATCCCTCATGTGGAAGTAAATTTGATCGAGAATCACAGCCGAATCCGGACGTGCTCTGACAGGCAGGCTCGATTGAAATAGCCCACCTCCTAAATAACATAATGTGTATTTCTGGGTGCTTTGAACAATAAAATCATATATTATTTTATTCACTTACTGACAGGCATTATCTGTTCAGCATAATTTGATAAATCGGTCCTGCTTGAGAGAGTAAGCGATAATCGTTTCTCATAATTATATTAGCTTGTATTTATCACATGCAGCGCTATTTAGATAGAGAGTGTTTAACAGAAAGTAGGCAACACTAGGACATTAGATCGCATTGAAAACATTGTCAACGCCCAATATTCCGCGTTCGCAAGTATATTCATTTCGTTCGTTCGTTCTTTTTATTTATTTTATTTTTTTTGGCTAAGTGTGTGAACGCGAATTTTACACGATTAAGACAATGCCATAGGTTTACACTTTTTTTTTAGAGAGGGAAGGGAGTGGAAGAAGTGGGCTGGAACATATTTAGTGTGAGTTTGGAAAAAAGGATTGAGGGGGGGGGGGGTGATGTCAAAGGCATTAAGATGCTTAAAAAATAAAAATACAATGTTGCCCGGGGGGGGAGGGGGGTGTAGAGTCTAACGAACCAAGACGCGAAAATGAAAAATAATTACGCACAGACCGAAGTAAAAGTTAATATGTGTCATGAGGAAAAGGGCGCAATGAAGAATAATGCGAGGGAATTTATTCCATGTCTCTGGTATTTTATTTCACGATAGTTACGGTGTTTTCTGAGCGCAGTGTCATTTCTCACTAGGGAGGCCTTGCTTCTGGAACATGACTATAATTAGCCTACATTTCTTCAAGAGGCCAAAAAAATGAAACGTGTTTTTTTTTACGTACTCCTGTTCTCTTTTGCCAAAATGAATTCATTTTATGTCTGTGTGTGGGGTTGTTTTTGTTGTGTTTTTTTTTTGGGGGGGGGTGATATGATTGGTGCTGTTGGGGGGGAGGGGTGATATGATTGGTGCTCCTGGGGTGAGGGGTGGGGGGAGAGGGGGTATGTTTTTTAGGGTGATTGTTCCATTTATCCCTCTCTTATCTAGAGCGTTCATATCCCCCCTCATCCCCCCCCCCCCCCCCCGGGGGTAAATAAATCACTATAAAGTCTCGGGATTAGACAAATGCTTTCAAATACGTTTGGAGAGTGGAACTATAGCCAAAGTATTAGGGAATCATGAGTTCAAGAGATGCTTCTTACAACAAATTCCCCTTACTTGTGTGAACCTATTATGGTCCAGAATACTCTAATGCAGAGGTGTTAGGCTCAATTTCACACGAGGGTCAAACTCAAAGAACACTTAAGGTTGCCGGCCGAACTGTATAAACACTCACTGAGAAGAGGAAAACTAAACCTGCTTAGAAAACAATGTTATGAATGGAAACAGGCAAAAGTTGAATTAATTTAAAAAATCAAGGCATACTGTACAAATTGTTGCTCTTATATCACTAATAATTTGTCAGAGTTGAATAATTGACATCTTTTCTTGGCAACAAGTTCGTTTTTTGCCTAGAGTAGGGTAGTGTAGTTTGGAGATTGATTTTAAGATGAACTGCTTAACATTCTCTCACTGTCCGGATATTTTCTTATAAAAGTAATATAAATTCTACTCATATCAACATGTCGTGTTTTTACCATTCCTGAAGAACCAGAAAAAAAATTCCCCGCAAGGATATTCATGTGGGTGGTTGGTGGGTGCTTTGGTGTGGTTTGCCCCTTCTTTCCTATCAAATAAATAACTATCGTCCTTACCTCTCATTCTTTTTTTGTGTGTACGCCCTACTCTCTTGTAACACCTCTAATCTTCGGCACATACATAGCCTAATTGTGTTACAAAATCCGTAAAACTCTCTCAAAAACTAAACAAACCATAAGAACAATAAAGCATAAATTCGTTATGTATTCATAATCCTTCTTAAAGTTGTCCGCCAGGCCGAATGCAGCCCGTAGACCTTGGGTTTGACACCGGTGTTCTAAAGCCTTGGCAGACAAGAGAACGGTTGTCTCCCTCACACCTAAGACAAAACCGGTGAAAGAAAAAAATATTTTGTTGACATTTACATTTCAGGATTTTAATTTTAAGACACGGAAATTAGCCGTCGTTGTGTGCTCGTTAGCTAAGAGCTTTGAAAAGTAAAAACAAAATCCCTAAATTTACGGATGGCAAACGGGTAGACGACGCTTTCACGAGGGTGAATTTTCAACAGTAGGAAGAGAAAGTAAGTACATGTATTTATTAATTATGTTTTTAAAAAAACAACACTTTTTTGAAAAATTAAAAGAAAATTAAACCGGAAAGAGGTTATTGACTTTAAACGTGTGAACTGCTGCATTTCCTTTCCTCATCCTTACTATCGCCATGTTACCTCTACTTCTTTCGTATTTTTGTCACTCTCTTGGCAACTGCTATTTCCGGGGTGCCTTAATAGTTAAAGCAGACTTTGTGCTGTAGAGGCTAGAGAGGTGAGCAGAGTAAGCCTGATTCCCCGTTTGGATTTCTCTGCTGACATCCACCCCTTGTGCGCCTTTAAACCTTACTAAAATAAAACAAGCCCACGCAACAACAAAAACAACAACAATCGTGATGAATAATAAATCGAAGGTGGTTGGAGGGCGCCACTGGAAAGACCAACAACTTTACTTTGCCTCTTTCCTTTCTGTGTGCCTGTCTTACTTTTCCCCAACTCTGAATGACCATTATTGTGTCGATGTGCTGCTTCTCTTAACTGAATTGATTTCTTTTAAACACATCACACAGTGATTGAAATATGAGATGGCGAGAGCGATGAATTCTATTCAGACTCCCTGAGTCTATTCCTTTTGTCTGAGATCGGTTTTCTTCCTAGAGAGAAGGGTGAAAGATACTGCATTATTGGTTTTTCTGGTCTTCCTCATTGTTCAGAAATATCCGCTCCCCTGTAATCCAACTTTAGCCTCCTGGCAGGTCCCAACTTCGCCTTTCGGTCCGTATGTTCAAGAATGATTAACGAGACGAAGAAAAAATGTGTTTCATCAGATCATTCTGGGATTAGCCTAATGCGTTGAAAATAAATCGCATTTCTACAGGGGTGATCTGATAAAACGCATTCTTCTTATTGCTTTGTTTGTCTTTATCTCAAATTCGATTAACACTGGTTTGGTCATGGTAAATGAGATATATCTTCATGTGGGATAGTCAAACAATAACAACATTGCAATTTGTTTGGTTAATTAGCAAGAAACACTAAATCGCGATTATCTCGGAACCCTGATTTTGAGAAAAATTCGTATTATCAGATCACGGTAGCGTCTTCACTTTTTTCTTAAACTTTGGTGGGCAGTGCAATACATGTTTATTAGCTTAAAATCTATCTTTTTAATGCTGAAAATGACAACGTTTATATACTTTACACTAAACTGGCTGTAGCAAAAGAGAGAATAGGTTTATGACAAATTAAAGTTAACCAACAATGAAGATAGGTCTACACTTCATTCACTTTACATAATTCTGTTATACCAAATGCATATTGACTATACATTTGATACATATGTGATTCCTTTGATACAGTCGGGGCCACCCAGAATTCTCCCTCATTGAACAACAGCTGCAATTTTTGCACGATTTGATCTAATCCTCCAAAAACAGCCAAATTAAACTTTTGATGGTTAGATCATATTGTGATATAATGGTAGCCCTCCAAAAAAAGCAACTCCAAAACAAACAAAAACAAAACAGATAATAAATGAATACATAGATCTAGATAGATTTTCATCAATAAATACATTTTTTTCAATAGAAAAAGGAAAATATGGCTGACCCCGACTCTATCCAATTGATTCGATTGGCGGTATGCACTGGGTGTAAACTTTTTACATTAAATTAATCTAGATCTATTCCCCGTTTCAATTTGCTTCCACTCTTGAGGAAGATTGGTCGTGATGGAAAACTTCACCTCTGCCAGGAACTTCTGCTCACAAGAGTTGGACACGTTCCAGCCCCCAGCAGTCCTGGTGTCCAACAGCGCGCTGCGCATGCTCGAGATCGTCCTTGACCTAGTCTTCTCCAACGTGGTCGCCTGTACGGGGGTCGTCACAAACGTCCTTGACCTTGCAGTCTTCTACCGCCAGGGGTTTCAGGATAGCGTCAACGTCAGTCTGGCTGCCATTGCATTATGGGATCTCGCCAAGTGCCTCTGCGGAGCCGCGTTTCGCCTGCACGGTTTAATAAGTTTATTTTCTCCTTTTACCGGTTTTATCTGGAAAAATCTCAGTACGCCCAATCTGCAAAACCTGCAGCGTTTGATTGGCTACACTTCCTACGCAATGGCTGCTTACGTGGCGGTGGAGCGATGCTTGTGCGTCAGTATGCCATTCAAAGTGAAAACCATCGTAACTCCAAAACTTACTTTTTTAATGATGCTAGCAATATCGGTTGGAGTGTTCGGCTCGTTTGTCATCATGCTCTTCATCTATCGCATCGACTGGGTCTGTAGCTCGGAGTATTTTGGGAGAACCATTGCAGTCTACAGCTACAACGACTTCTACTACGAAAACGGCGTCCATGTTGTTACATACTACAACATCATCGGCATCCTGAATCCAGTCATCAGTTTCTCTATCATGGTCGTCTGCACCGTCATTATTTATTACCATCTGCGACGCGCTTCCGACTTCCGGATTAAAAGCCAACATGGCGACGCGGGCGCTTCCGGAAGGGGCAAGGATTTGCCGCTGCAGATGTCAGTGCGTGATAGACAGGTGATTCGCATGCTCCTCGTGGTTATTTTGGTGTACATTGTCAACTTTGTGCCTCTGGTAGCGCAGTATGTGGCCAAACTGATGATCCCCGAGTTCTACTTTCTCAAAAGGTACCACAACAGCTTCGTGCTCACCGCGTACCTTATGTTTCTAGTAGATCTTGTCAATGCCTCGGTCAACTTCTTCATCTACCTCACGATGAGCTCCAACTTCAGGCGGACGTTTTTTGACATGTTTTCCAATCATAGAAAAGGATAGGAGACGGATATTATGGTGTTTTTGGTTCACGCATATACACAGACAGACACATACAGACTTCAACATAAGTTAAGGACCACTTGCAAACACTCTTGGTCTTCTTGGGTCGACCTACACGAGGGCGTTCTTGAGGCGCAGCCTAAGGCGGACAATGACTGTGTGACACTGCAAGGCTTCTGGCAACTTCCCGGGCTCCAACTCCATCCTGAAGCCATGCCGTAGCGCTGGCACGATAAAGTTTCTCAGTTTTCGTCTAAGTGGCATGTTTATGCGATACTGGATGTTGCACAAACGGCGGCTTATTTTGCCGCCAAAGTGAGTACAGTTCGAGACTGTACGTCCGTTTATCACGTGCACCAGAAATTTTAACTGAGGAATGTCTGTGGTGTCGCACACAAGTTGATAATAAACAGCAGATTTGGCTTAAATTCCCCCCGGATTTCCGTGCTGCACGTGGTGGTTTTGCACCTTTAGGAAGCTTTGCAGTACGCATGGGTAACCCATTAACACTTTCACAGCAAAATATTTTCAAACATTCCTTGCTGCCTTTTTTCAGATAAAAAAAAATTCAGTGCTGTCTGTCAAGGTGGTCCTTAACTTTTGTTGAAGTCTGTACAGACACACATGAACACACACACACACACACACACACACACACACACACACACACAA